GCATACGGCAAATTCCGTAATGGAGCATCTATTCACATTTGCAACCATATAAATAATTATGATAGTCATATGTAATTTACTATTTCAGTCTTAATTTGTTATTTTTAGAGGCAGCTACTAAAGTAATAAGCCTATTATAGGATACAATACCTATTGTTTATAGCACCCAACCTTTTTTCTACATATATATATATTGTAATGCACAAAAAGCTGTGAGTACGGACAATCCATCAACTTAATTTTTATAATTAAACAATTTTACAACTTCGTTTGACTTATTTATAATAATTATCGTAATGTAATATAAATATTTAATACACAAATATTAATCTTTGAATTACAATATTTAATAAATCCACATGTTTGAAAATTGATTGACCCATTCAAATAAATTAATCTATTCCAAATTCCATAGACCTTGTTGGAAACCTCTCTACAGTTATACAATTAAAATATTCTCTGTAGTCGTTTCGTGTACAAATAATGTTGTTTCATACAAATTGGTAATCATTAAAGCAGTCGAAACAGATTATTACTGTCTGTGAACACAACGATTTTTTTTAGTAATTAAAAAATGCATTTTGATCTTGTTTAAATAAACTACCAAAACAAAACTTTTTTTTTCAATTAAAACATGGCATTTGAAATGTGTGTTATTTTTGAGGTAAAAACGAACTCATTACGTGTTCATTCATATTTGCGTTTTAATGAAAATTTTGGAATGTTACAAATACGAAATACCGAAAAAACTGCTTTTTTATGCAATCTCTACATCACTTTTTGATGAATGCAAGCTTATTATAGACCGAAAATATTTTTGTTTACGCACAATTCATAACAGTTTCGTAATGTATGTTTGTATAAAAATACATAGATATTAAGTTTTTAAAGCAAATAAAAGCGTTATTTGTATTAACCGTGTTTTTCAATTATCTGTGCTTTGACGTTCCTGAATTTCCACGGATAATCGGTGTTTTAATATATTAGTTAAATCTTTTAGGAAATAAGACATGTATAATAGAGAAATCTGATTAATTCTATAGATATTTTTGTAGTTTATTTCAAATATACTAATATTATATTACATCAAAAACATTGTTTTAAGTGAATATGTTACAAACTAATAAAGGCTTTGTTTGAAATGCAAATTAGTGTTAAAGCCGAAGGGAATATACAACATGTAATGCTTTAATTCAAAACCAAACTTAACTACATGCAATTACAAACTTCGGAAGGACAGCACCTCTCCTTTCTAGACAACAAATAGATTAATTACATCGATTGTAAATAGAAAATCCGTACGACTGGAATATCTTGTTTGGAAACAGGTAATAAAATTTGTTTTCATTTATTACATTTTTTGGATGATCTGATGGATGCGCAGCTCTAATCAGCGCATCACATATCGATTACTCTCACTCACGGCACGACGTGCAGCAAACACTTTAACGATGAGAAGGGGAGTAAATATTATATAATAAGCGGATATTTCGACGCGTAGAAAAACAAAACAAAAAAATAAAAGCAAACCTAAATAGTCGGCATGATCATCATCCCTTGAGCCGGATGAAAGTATCATCTTTCTGCACGTCATTAAATAAGAAGTTTCACGAATCGGCTAATCGCGAGTTCTTGCCGTTTTTTTTTAATCGTTTCTATAAAGTGATGTGGATTACGATTTAATGTTCAACATAAACGCCAGATACGATCAACTGAAATGTTCATTCTTGTTTCATGACGATCTGTATTTAATTAATCACTGAGCCCCATAGACACGTACCGATGTATTTCGTGCTCTCTGCCCATTTGACAGCTTTCCATAATGCACTCAATCAATGCACATCGCGTGATAGAAAAGCGCGATGCAGAATATTAAACAATCAATTACGAAACGTCAGAATTGATGTGAGAAAAAAACGCGTAATTCTGTTTGCATGATATTTGTTGTTATTACAATCTATTGAAATATTTAAATTTTTTAAATCAACATTTTCAAATCCTATTTCACAAAAACAATCAAAATCTTCACACATCTTTGGAATTTAATTGGAAAATTACTCCAATCTTTCACTAATTGTGATGACGTGAATTCGCACTGAGTTCAGTTTTTTACAGATCGAACAAAATGGAAACTAAATAATTTATTTTTATATACAAAAATAGTTTTATGTCACACTAAATATTCAAAAAATCTTGCTGACTCAATAGATTTTGTATTAAGTCTAATATTTCTATATGACATATGTTAATTTAAGTATTATAAAAATAATTTGATTACAAATTGAAAGATTGAAAGGACAAGAAAAATATGTGGCATATGAAAATCTGAAAACAAACTACCCGTGTTTCTGAAAACATTTCCTTATATATTCTTTGTCAATATGGAATGAAAAAGAATCCTCTATATATTCGTTTTATGATCCACGTCTCCACAGATTCAATCTTGTGAGATTGCTACTACCAATACGGATCCAATGAATACGGGATCATTTTCAGCGTAATAAAAATAAATAACAACCGAAAATAACAAAAAATCTAAATTAACAGCTTTTTACTTAAAACAGCTGAATGCCATTGTTTGTTCTGTTTGTGGACGTGTTTTTTTTATTAATTAATTTCCAGTACACACGTTGTCTGTGAATCTGGGTCAATGTGTGTTTTGTCGACATCAAATAGAATAAATCACCTTTATAGAACTTCCGTTTCTGTTTGAGCTATTATGTAAATATGTAAATATGTATTTATAATTGGTTATTTTACAATTATATTAATTGAGGTTTCGTTTTTTAATACAATTTTAAATAATGTTGCTTTGTTAAATTGAATTATTTCGCAAACAATATTGAATTTTTGTAGTTTGACATGAATATCTTAAATAACATTTCTGTACTTTCACAGTATGCATTTGTATCTTATAGCAAGAAATTCTTAAATATTTGGTGACCCGACAATAAAACAACCACGTCAAATGCACGCACGGCATTGGATGTATTTTAATAATTTGTGTCCATTTTTTCATGTAAAAATATGCGTGTTATAGTCCGAAAAATACGGTAATTGTAGTTTAATACTGTCATAATATTAGAAAGTTCACTGCAAAATTAAGCAATTTACTAATTTAATAAAGGATATTCGTAATGTAACATCAAACGTAGGATGTTATAAATGTATTTTGCGGATTTTTTTTAACAACTTTTATCAGCAGGAGACTCGACTTGCTCCCCGGAGTTTTCGTTTCACTTTACATGCGAAAAATAAAACGTAAATGTATATAAGTTTTAATGCAATCTCGCTTCCATGTGCGGTAACCAGCTTTCAAATTCAATTACCACAAGTTTATTATTTGACAGATGGAGGGAAACCGCGTTTGTGGTAAACTTAGGCAGTCTGCAGCAATAGGGAAAACTGTAAATTAATGAAAATAATAATTGTGTAATGAGTTTGTGCTTAAGTTTCCGAACGTGTTAAGATTAATGAGCCTGCTTTCGGGAAGATGCGAAAATCGCTGCTTTAATTAAGGGTCCGCGTTTAATTTTATTTTTTCATACTTCTTATTTTATCGTTTCCTTACTATTATTTTAAACTTCGTTAACTCTTCGGGGACTTCGCGAATTTTCGCTTGTGTAAATGAGCCATTCAAGTGCTACTTGTTCCCCTCTTTTTCTCTCTCTCTCTCTTCACTTCGCGCTGTTGCATTTATAGTGTGTCGGGAAAGCTCGAGAATTTATTGAGGAAATTTCGCCCCCCGACTTTAAGGAAATTAAACGGACGGAAAAGCCAAGTTGTTAAGTTGTTATTAGTTTCTTTCATGTGCTTCGAGATGGCCCGACCGAGAAGAAAAAGAAATCGATTACATCGCCTCTCTCCCACTTTTGCACACTTACCCTCGCACCCCGCTAATTACGGGCTTCACTTAATAAAGTTGCAAAATGTATGTTATAAATCTCGACGTTGGCGCTGGTGTTCCTTCTGAGGGCCATGAGGGCATTAAATTAAATTGAATTAATCGTGCACACATTCGTGCAGTTCGCCACCGCCGCAACTTAATTAGGACCGCACTAATTACGTCCCCGGCAACAACGTATTGTTAAATCGAACGGCTCTCTAATTAGGGTCTAAGAGATTTTCCATCTAACACTCACCTATTCTCCTTACTATCAATAATCAAAAAAGATCACCGTTCCAATCAAGTGGGACACTCTGATATTATAATTTCTTTCAATTAAAATTAAATTTGAATTCGATCACAAATAAATTCCTTTTATATATAAGTGTGCTCCAGTATTTAAAGACTTGGGGTTCTAGGGACACTACAAAGACTAGAAAAACAAGTCTTAAATTTGCACGTTTTGAGGAAAAACAGCTGACAAGCACCAATTTCAATAGTTGCGTATATAACGACCGCACTTTAATTGCAGGGCCGTGGGAATTAAAACGTTTTCAGTTTGCAGAGACAAGTGGTTAGTCGGAATGTTTTCCAATGTAGAACTAAAATATCCGACGTAAAAACTTTCTTGGGTGAGACTTTTATCTCGGAAATTTTCGAGCTGAAATTATTCTGAAACAGAACTGAAATTTGCATGTGCATGAAATACCAAATGTGAGGTTTTAAAGTGGATGATCCTATATTCATTTTGGTTAACAATTGATTTAATTACAATAATAGATTAATGAGACATTATTCATCAATATGCATATAGCATGCCCCAATATGTCTGTTCAACTTAATTTATATATAAACTTCTCAGTAACTTATCTGTTAACTTTATTAATATACAAAATATATGAAAATTAGATTGTCAACATTTATTAGTTCATCAAATAGTACTACAAAATTGTCCAGATTTAACCGGAAATTACAAAAAACATTCTTGTAATAAAATGTAATAAACTTTTACAAAGTTGATTCAAATATGCCATTCAAATTGTTTTTTTTTTTTTGGTAATAATTTATTAATAAATAAATTCTTAATAAACTAAGATTATGTTCTTGTTTTCAGAAATGAAGAGCAGCGAGTCTCGTCGTATGGTGGACATCACACGAGACAAACCGATAAAAGTTGCTGTACGCGTTGTGGTGCCTGTCAGAGACCATCCTAAGGTAATGAAACTGATGCATGAAAAAGTTAGTTCTATCCCACCAGAAGCCAATCAAATTTATTGTACGTCGTTTACCTTAATACCCATTCGACGTAATTACCCATTCAAAGTTTTATCTGTCAATTATTACTAACCAGAGCATGTAAACAAAATAAAAAAAGACAAGGAGAGCACATAGACATTTTATGGATCGTTAATGAAAAAAATGCTTTAAGTGGCCTTTAAAAAACGCCCGAATGGAAAATTCAAATTAAAAATCCCTTATCAAACGTAACGCAAATTTTTAACGACGCAATCTTATAGCTAAAATGGAAACGTAGGTTTAAACATTAATATTTTTTACGAAAACAGTATTTCTAGGCATAAACTCTTGAGTATATTGAATTCAGTGCAAGAGCATACATAAGGGGAATGATGGAGTGCAGCCATCGAAGAAGCATCAGTGCTTCACCATTATATAATTTATTACGCTTTTATTGGAATTGCGTTCCTTTGTATAATCTGAATCGTATTTTTCGGTTGAATGTAATGAAAAAATGGAAACCTTTCACCTCAAATAAATATAGTTAAGTTTAATTGGATATTGGAAACAAAGAATCTTTAGAAATTTTGTATTCCTTTATTAATACGTTTCGTTTTTGTTGGAAGTTATTATTCTTTTTTTTCAAGTGAGAATCAGCTCGATCCAATTATAAACTCGAGCTTTCAGTTTTCATACTGAGCACTAAATTGTTGGGTGATGGAATCACAAAAAAAATGATTGATAATCAAAATTATCGGAACAGATAGATTTAGGTCAATTGCCTTTGGTATAAAAACTATACAAAATCTGTAGTTTTATTACATATTGACCATGATATTAATTAATTGTATATGATACTTTCGAGAATTAAAAGAATATAATTTTTTGTTGAAAATATTATAACTTACTTTACATAATTGAAAATTAATTTAGATTGTCGAATTTCGGATGTGCTTGGCTAGAAACGTTAGTGCAATCCATTTCGCTTAAATTGGCATTGAAGTGGTTTAAAATGCTCTCGTCGAAACGTGCAAATCGATTCAGAGATCTACCACAAACTTTAGTAATTAGACCGCAACCAAACCCATCAAATATGACCAATATCTCGTATATTCATTTGCATCTCTGGAAAGTAAATAGTCATTGTATTGGTTGACAAAGACAAACAGTTTCATTATTCATTTTTGGTGGGTCGTCGTGGGAATGCGACTTGAGGAGTCGCAGCGGTCATGTTCAAACACAACCGGAAACTATTTCCGTCTTCCCCGGAAACTCAAACAGAAAAAGTAAACTCTAGTGTGGGACAGAGCGTGAAGAAAACACTCCATCTCAGGCCTCTTGTTGCCACCTCCCGTCGAACTGCTCGACTGCTTCAAGCACTTTATTATGTACCCTCTCTTTAACAAAGAAGACTCTTATTTTCAGCGAATTCTTTCATTAGTTTACTGAACCGTATCTTTATAATAAAATAATAAGATAACGTAGAAAAATATTTTTGAAATACAGTTGGGTATTCCCAATGGTAGATACATTACCAATGATATATGGAATCGAGTAGGTTAAGATGCTTTCCTCTGGAATACAATATCGTGGTTGTAAATCATCGACATGCAATATGCAGGCTTGCATCCGGCTAGTAAATATTGTGAAATGCGGAAATCTATAATCCTTATATACAAATTTAATGTTAGAAGATTCGAAAAATACATCACCTTAACTGCTACTGTGCTGTTTTGGGTACGCTCACACTACACTCAGGCCAACTTGACCGGCAACATATATAATTCATTCTCAACGTTCATACAAGTAATTATTAATAATTATATATTAAAACATATGTGGTTTAAAACACATAAAACTACATTATTAGATCTTATTTTATTGAATGCAGTATATTTTGCAAAGTAATTTGTTATATATGTTTTGATTTTTTTTCAGTTTAATTTTGTTGGAAAACTGTTGGGTCCAAAAGGTAATTCACTAAAAAGACTTCAAGAGGATACAATGTGCAAGATGGCAGTTCTTGGTCGAGGGTCAATGAAAGATAGACACAAGGTGAGTACGTTATTCTCCCGGCGCATCCACCACAAATAACGATCCTATATAATTTGAACATACATTTCATTATAGTAAACTTATATCTCTGGATATAATAACAAAGTAAATTTATTGCATATATAACATGCATTGATTGTAGTCTCTCTCTAAATATATTATTATATATAAATCATTTGTGCAAATACATAACTATAATTGGTGTATTTCATATTATTGATTTAATTTAATATTCCCTCAATGGTATTTGCATTAACAATGCAAATATTTTGCTATTACAGTTCAAATCTAATTTAGCTGCACTGCGTTCTGTGGGTTTAAATAAAAATGGAATCCAAAGTTCAGACTTGGAGTTGTGCAAGTTGAAATAAGTTTGATGCTATTAATAATAGTAAGGAGCTGGGACGCGTAACTTTGCAAAATCTTGCGGAAATTATGAATCCGTTAATAAATGGCAACCGAGAGGACAGAGGGAGTGAAAAAAGGACAGAATTAAATAGGATCGCGCGTTCAATATTTTATCCTCTGGAGTGTTTTTCGCGAGTAAATTTATGGAAGCGCTCTCCACGATTTACGGGAAAACTGTTTTTTTTTTATTTGCTGCGAGTTGTAATTTAAATGTACCTTTACTGTTTTGCAGGAAGAGGAGCTTCGAGCCAGTGGAGATCCTAAGTTCCAGCACCTCAGCGAAGAGCTGCATGTGGAGATCAGCGCTTTTGCCACCCCCGCTGAAGCCCATGCGCGTATTGCATACGCTTTGGCGGAAGTCAGAAGATTCCTGGTTCCGGTGAGTCAACTGTCACAACATCGAATGCTATTGATGTATTTCGTTCCATTTCAAATGGAGAGAGAGAGAGAGAGAGCACACCGAAATCCAATAAGTCGTTCGAAATTAATGAGTTGCAATTAGAGTCGGCGTTGCTCCTAACCGACATTGTCGTAATAAATAACCTGACCAAACGTATAATGAATGGTCTTTCGTCTCTTTCCCTATTAGGTTTATCGATTGAAATGAACTAGAAAGTATACAATCATTATTTCATTTTAAGTAAATCAAGTTTCTATATGTAACAATTTTATTTAAGCTTACGTCAATTTATGTCAATACTGATAACTGCAACTAATCACAAAATGTACATTATTTACTTACAGGCCATAATTTTGTACAGTATTTTGCAGCTTACGAAAATTAAGTAACGTATTATACTTATCCTTAAGTGATATATTTAAAATTTATTTATATCATCTAAATAACACTTATAAGATAAGTAACAAATAAACTTTGAGGAAAAAATATAAAATTTCTTTAAAATTTCTGCATAAGAATGTAATTATAATTTTAAAATGAATATTGATTACCTGCAATAATACAATTCTTCTATAAAAACAGTTTTGCCTTAAAAACTTTAATTCAGAAAACAGATTTGGGAATAAGTTTCCTTTTACCTGCACATCCAAATTGAGTCCATTAAGGTACACTTTAATATTCACCATAAACTCCAGGGATTTAATCCATTTTTATCCGACAGTTTCATCGCGGAAAAGCGAATGCAAACATTTATTTTTAACGCAAATTAAAAAAAGAAACTGGATAGAGCAGATCTTTACAATATAAACAAGTTAAATTAATGAACTACATAATTTTAAAATCATCAGGCAGCTGTGGATATTATAGGTTTTCTTAAAAATATAATGCAATAGAAAAAAAGGTCTGAGCATTGAACAAGTAATTAAATTAAAATAAATATTTGATACTAATTGTATTCCGACTTTAATTTAGTAACAAGAATTGCATTTATAAGTAATATGTGATGATTTTCTTTGATTCATATTATTATATGATCATAAGTTAATATGTTAAAATTGTGTTTAAGTTAATTCCGAATTAAATCATAGTGAACTAATGAGATGCACCTACATGACCCAGATACCCTAATTATTGTTGCATCATGTAACAGGCAGTATAAATTAAATTATTAATTTCCTTTGAACAGCTAAACTAAAACCAAATGCAAACATACACCATCGTTTCATCGATGCACTCCAATTGGAAACTGTTTCGATTTAATTACACCTCGAAAATAAACGAATTTCTCTTTTAAACTTCTATCAACTATTCCACGTATACATTGACTGTTAATGTATTTTGTGGGCTGCCATGGATTTGTTTAATTGTATTCAATAAAATTTTCTTTGGAAAACGTAATTTTCAAATGCCGCAATCAATTATGTAACATTAATTCATTGTAAATATTCTTGTAAAAGCAGTGGTGGATTATGCATCAACTGATGGATTGCGATATATCAAAGATTGAGCTAGTTTTGTTTGAATAATGATCAGAACTAGAAGACCCAATTTTTTTTTTATTGAAAATTTTGTGATTCTTTCACAAATTCATTTTCGACGTACTATTAAAGAACGTCATGTTACCAGTATTTCTTATTAAAATTTATCTGTAATTTTGATAGTCGTATTGTCCGATAAAATCAGCTAAAATCTATTTAAAAATTAGATTTTTAGATTGAACATGTTTATTTCGGATAAAAGTATGGTGATGTCAAGAACAATAGTTGTTTTTATTATTTTCTTGGTGGAGCGCAATATATAACATTTCCTACAATATTTTCATACCGCTACCATCTTTATTGAACGCAAGACACAATAATATATCTATATTACAAACTTTACTTATATGTTTGTTATATGAAATTTCCATAAAACACATATTTCATCAAATTGTATATGTATTTCTATTAAATATTATCTAAACCTTGAGGAGCCTAAGGTCAATGTGGAAATGCATAAATCTACAAATTGTTTACATCACTGGCATTTGACGTGCCAGTTATGAGAAATGTCAGTAAATATTTCTGACTTGCATTTATTTTCGTGTTTAATATTTCCCCTATTTTTCAATATATAATTAATTAACGCAAATATTATTCCAAATTATTGTTATTCTTCCTCTATTATTATTAATAATATTAATAATAACGCGCACCATATATTTGTATAATTATCAAAATTTTGAGCGAAAATAACTATGATCATTTGTCCTTTTCATAAAAGCATTTTTAAAGTGCTTTTGTATTTGACACAAAGGATAAAAAACTAAATGTTCTATTAATAATCCTTATAAATGATTTTTTGTATCGATCTTTATTACATTAAAATTTCCAACATGTAATTAATTAAACGAAGCTTTGATTCCGAACGCTTTTAATTCCCATTTGGGTAATGAACACCGAATACAAAAAGCGTAATGGAATAATGAAAATGGAAATTTCGATATTTGCTTATTATGGAAGCTGTATCAAATGGGATTCAGTTTTTCCATCTTTCCATGATAAATCTGCGAAACCGTTGCACGCGACAGTCACCCCACACACAGCGACTGGGGGCGGCAGAGTTTTCGCTTTGTGAATGCGATCATCGGTTCGGATGTAATTCAAGAGCAGTTCTCTTGGAGAGGGAACAGAGGGGTTTGCGATGGGCCAGGACTCAACCAGTTTCAATTTTCAAAAGTAGATACACATTTCGGGTCGGAGACAGCAAAACACCCCATCCGTAATCGATAGAATCCCCTTTTCTCTTCGGTCCGTCCGTTTTGTAGCCGAAGAAACTTTAAAACTTTTGCTAATATTTATACGAGACCAGGAAACTTTTGTGATTAATATTGGGCGCAGCGTTGAGTTTCGCTTCTTGTTCTACTTTCTGTGGGCGGAGGTGGTGGAAAATAGGAACGTTTGCACGGTGCTTGTAAATGTATATACTTCCAACTTTCCTTTACTTTTTGTCCTACCGTGAACGCGTCTTCGTGTCGATTGTATATTTAAAATACAAATCACTCAAAACCTTGCAAATTGCGTTTGGCATATGATCAAAGAATGTCATGCCAATATTTATCCATCAAGAATTCTATTTAAATTACATTCGTTTTACGATATTCTATTATATTTAGTTCTTAAGCATGTTCTAAACATGTTTATTTCATAAAAATATAAAAAAAATATCTTCATCATTTGTTTCTGATTCTTTATAATACATATAACAATTATAGAATCATTTGTCATTATCAAATCAACATTTTCGATATATCATAAGAAAGTATTTTAAACTTGAAAATATTATTATAAAATTATAATAATCTCATGAGTTAATAATAAGAAGCAACCTCATAAACCTATTTTAAATATTTGTATGATTAAAATCGTCAAAGTTTATCATCCTTTTCACCAATATGTTGTGTGCATGAGATTCCAACAAATTGTTTAAAATTTTTGTGATGAGTATTTATAGAATATAGTAGATGCGTGTATTTTGAAGGGTTAAGCCCTTGTCGTTCAGAAAATAATTGATTGAGTAAAACAAAAGCTTAGGCAAAGAGATCAACGTCTATTTGATCCTTTTTTTCTACTATTTTTTGTTTTCAAATCCAGAGCTGCAGATTCGAGTTCTCCGATCCTCACATAAAATACATATTTCTATATTTCTCTCTCTCACTCACTCTAACCCGAATCCCGCACACAATTCTTCCCCCCTGTGCGCACTTTTATCTCACTTTTTGGCGAAGCCCCGGGTATCGTATGACACGTTTATCCAATTTACCCTTTGCGTATTTCTAAATTTATGGATTCCGCGACGCTCGGAAAATCCAATTACAAATCCCAGAAACTTTAGTTTTCAACTTGAATCCGATACGTGCAAAAGCAATAAAATGTAAACAAATTTCTCGTGGATATTTCGTTTTGTTTCTTTGATATTACTATATTTACAACTCCTAAATGCGCAATTGATTTGCAACCGATTGCATTTGAATACTTTAGTTAAATTATGTAGACTCGATTCATCATAATTGATCTTTCATGAAATGCATAATTGTATACGCTCCATCATATCCGACGTTTCGCAAATAGTTCAATTATTTGCATATGCTTTATTTACTTGTAGTTCTAATTTCCGTGCAAATGGATTGAAGTATCTAACTTTATGCCGGTGAATGCTCGTTATGGATTTATCTTATTCGCGAACATAAATAGACCCAACATCAGCAATAATTATTATCTAAGCCAGCGCTGAAGACGAAGCGACCCTTCAGATTAATGGAGGTAATATTCATTCCAACGAAGCAACTACATCGGCCCAAATGATAAGATAACTCTAATGGCAAAAGTCAAACAACATCAGCCTATATTTGATGAGAGAGTGATCTTCAGATATTATATATAAAAGAACCTGTATATTCAACTGTAACATATATTTTTTTTAACATTTAATGGAAAAGGTGATCCAGTTCCTTTTAGTAATATAAAATCTGTAATGATATCTTAGATATAAATGGGTTCAAAGTTATTTTATTTTTCAATACATTTCGCATTGCAGCTCAATACATTAAGTCCATAGTTTTCATAATGATTCTATACCATGTTTATAATTATTTGCATCAACAAGTGCAAAATATCTGTTTACAGTAGCAATTGCTTCTTGATTCCTCGATCAGTCAATAAATCTGGTCAATATGGAGAATGTTCAAGGAATTCATACTTCAATTCGTTTATTTTTGTCATGGTCAAAACACTCTTGTGAGCAGAGCTATTGTCTTTATGATAGATTTTTTTCATTCAATTTATTCGGCAGGCTTGTATAATATTCTGAGTTAATTATTTTACCTTTCTCAAGATAATCTATTAACAAAATTCCCTTTGCACACCAAAAACTGATGCCACGCCTTTCGTTTTTGGTATGCAGTGATATTACGATATATTTTGAACATTTTCATGGGTGAAAAATGTTTGTTTTATTACTGTATTAAATCTATCATATACATTTCTATTCAATACGATTGGAAAATTATATTTGTTGGTTTAACGTGAGTGAGTTTGAGCTTTCGCGAGACCTATGCTATGTAAATGTAAACGTATGCTAATTAAACGTGAATTCTATTATAAAGTGTCAGGACGTACGTTTGTGCGGTGAGGCAACTCGCATCAGTATTAATTTGCGAAGGCAACAGACGGGACTGGCGAGAACCCTGAACCTTGGCTTAGGTTTGCCTATGCATTTAGAGACGCAAACAAGTCGCTGTAACTGACACCGAATAGTCACTTACAATTATTATCTACATTGGTATATACGTTTGACGCAATACAACAGACAATCATCAATTATAATTTATATTGTATCTAGGACCTTATCATAAAACGAAATCAAATTATATGTTTTTCGTTATTATAAGCATGTTATATATGTCAGACATTAAAGAAAATCGAAATACATTTTCAATAAATTAATTCCCAAAGGGTGGCGTCTTCAATCTTTTTTATTTTATTTTTTATAAGTTACAGATCATCCATTGAAAATTAAAATAGCTTTGTATAATTTCCAGCAATACTTGAAAGCATAAGTTTACATAATTAAACCTCGTAAATTCAAGAACTTAAGAAGATCAATCGAGCCGAAATCCAATGTTTACGACCTGCAATCTTGTGTACGGTCATGGAAAATGCTGTGAAAAGAGCCTGTATTTGTGTGCAGGAAAATAGCGGTGATTTTCACACATAATACCAATAAGACTCCATAAACTACTTTTTCATATAAAATAAAAAAGTAAAAATTGTGTATGTAAAAGTTATTTTTGTTTTAAATCATTTAGGCGCCATCCTGTACAATAGGAAAAATAATAGGGTGGATGCTTGGGAACAGTATTTTCTTATCTACATCTACAACATACGACGTATATTTTATACAATATGATCGATAAGGGCACGATTCTGAAAAGGAAATATACAGCCAGCCCAAAACGTTGTTTACCTTTGGTTTCAATCGAATTCATTCTCTCTACGGTCTTTGCAAATTTTATTTTCCACATCGGTTCGTGCTCGAAAGAAGGACGAACAAATATATACAGATACATATATATTTTTTTATTGGTGCAGAATCGTAGGGGTTGCAGATTGCGGCCATCGATCGCGCACGAAGAGAAAAACGATTGACCACCTGTTTTCAATGGTGAACCGCCGCAGCCGCCGCCGACACCGCCGACGTATTTATAGATGAAAGGGGCGTAAAATGCAGACCGCCGTCGCCGCCTCTCGCACGCTCAGTTTATCCTGGCTAAAAAGATTCTATTTACAGGACCGAACTTATGCTTTACGAGCTTGTTACGCGGACATTCGGTTCGCATTAAATTCGCAGCAACCGGATGGATGATCGAAAAGAATGCCAATAGCATTGAAGCTCGATTAATTTTTTTATTAGAATTTGCTTCGACGTTTTATAAGCTGCAGAATATCAAAGCCATGTAAATATGGCCATTATATCCAGATTATCCTCATCTATTTAATTTTATACCAATTTAATATTTCAAAAGATTTGTCCATAAATTTCATCAACCATATTTCAATACATTTATAAATGGCCACCTTTGAATTAGCACTATTATAAATCGATAAAATAATACACGCTATTTCGAATAACATATTTGAAACTTCATTTATGCTGTTTATATTATTTCCCATACTTGTTTTCCTGCAATCTTTCTATTAGCATTTTTTAATTAAATTTTTCAAAGGGAACTTTAAAATAAGAAGAATAAAGCATTTATGAAGTTTACCATTTATAACGGATATAAAGAATTTCACAATTAACAAAAAATACCTTATTAAAAGAACAATGTAGGAGTAGTTTTTATTAAAATATTTCATTTCTAATATATTAATCATATTTTTTTATTTGAAATTTTTTGATATTTTTAATTACAAATCTTCGTATATCCTCATGTTTCTAATATACTGTTTTTCAATTAATTAATATTATTTATGATAAAATGGATCATCAAAATAAACCTTGGATATAAGAAACATTATATAATCAAATTAATAAATAATAACGAAAAAATGAAATTAACAAACTGGCCAAAACCAATCATTTGTACCTTCACCAGATAGGGAAATAATAAATTCGCCAGATAGGTAATAAATATTTATATTTTACCATCAAAAACCGTACGAACTTTTTTGGTTACCTGATATATGCGCATCATTCCGGTTGTTGCCCATTTATTATTAGCTTCAAAATTATACGTAATTCAATGTTCAACATATGATAACGTTATAGGAAACAGGTTTATCCAAAATCGTGATATACAATAACGAGTTATACAAAATTAAAACATTCAATACTTTGTTCTTTATAAATGATTATTAAAACTGAAATAACGTACCGTCAGCTCTTTTAATTTCTCCGTGAAAGAAGCACAAACTGTTGAATTAATTAAAAAAAACCGTCCCCAATTACTTTATAACTTGTTCGCCGCTGCGGCCGTCGGCGTTTTTATCTTGTACGACACGTCCGACGGCACCCTTGTCCGGATGGTTGAATTTTGCTCGGAGAATGCATTCAAACGGAAATCCTTCCTCTGTCACCCCTCGCCCAAGAATGCTATCCGAATAATCTATATGGATTGAATCCTCGAAGGGATGAAAGTGTATTATTGAGTTGTCCCGATGACTGTGCGACAACATACATCTACGAATCCGCCATACTAATTGTGGCTTACATTTCAGGATTACAACGACGACATCAGACAGGAGCAGATGTGGGAGATGCAGGTTCTGTCCAGCCAGAGAAACAATAACAAAGGCGACGAGTTAGCCGGTGGCGGTGCCGATTACCAAACAGAGGACAGGTTGAGCTCAACGGGAAACATCGAAATTCTCGAAGTACCCGACAGTCCAACAAATGAGGACCATCCTGCCCTCAGGGGTGTCCAACCAGGTATCTGTCACATACATATTTATTTAGGTTTCCGTGTCTCAATACATATATAAACCATATTTAATTCTAACAAGACACACATAATATTTGATCAGTATATCTATACAGAAGTTAGCATCTAACCCGGCACATCCACCATATAATATATTATATCATAACATTGTAATTTACATGATCAAGATTCACTTATGTCAGCGGTCGGAAAAGTGCGATTTACCAGTTAAATGCAGCTCTTTGGTACTTGCATGTGACCCTAAAGTACAATTGAAAATAAAAACTTGATTTTATTCATCATTCAAAATGTTTGAATTCAATAGCACTAACACAAGAATAATTTTTATGGTTTTTATCAGAGAGAAAATTGGCTCATCCATATCAAAAGTTAATAGCTTTAAAATAGTTTTAACATTGTTATGAAAGAGAGATTTGGCTCTTCCAGCTCAAAAGTCCGACCACTTACTTAGAAAATATGGAGTTAACCTATTAACCCTGTGCATCTGAATCGCGGTCAACGTATGCCGCATTTGTAAAATACACTCAAATAAATAAAAGAACAGAAAAAAGTAATTCAATTACGTTCATTTTACATTTGCTGAATAAATGCAGTTGCACAACTTCACGTGTACAGTCACATTTAATTACAACATATAAACAAACGATTTGCATTGCTAATAGAAAATGTACTGCGCACGACAATCATTAACAACATTTATATTTCAACAAACATGCTGAACCTGACCCCAATCCAATTAATTCAATTTCCAATTCCAATAATTCTAATTACAAAAAAAAAAATTTAATTTATGCGAATCAATATGGAAATTACTTTAAATAATTAATTTATACAAATAACTTGTTCATAACACAAAATATTATTTCTGTAATCAATTATATACTAATCATTTTATAATTAATGAATTATGTAATTTAGTACGTTAAACAATTTAATTTGTATCAAACAAAATAAACGTTACATTTTTGTTTACAACTATAAAAATATACTTTTCTAAAAAAACTATAAAACAATTTCATATTGAAAAAATTTAACTCTACGTTACTCGCAAAATATTTTGTAACGTCGTCTGAGAAACCGTCCACAAATCGTCAGTCAGTATGAAGAAGGCACATAGGTCGTCCCTCCTTTTCAGTTATAAAAGTTATGATTGGTATTATACTCATGGCGTTTTATAGACGCCACGTGAGTAACGAAGGGTTAAAAGAAACAATTAACATATTAATCTTAAATAAATGTGTAGACTAATTTAAATTTGTTCTTTTTTTAAGATTTATATAAATGAATAATGAAAATGTGTTTCATACAATAAGTGCATTAATTTAATTCAAGTTATCACAATTTAAATTAGTAAAAAAAAAATCGTGTTATGAAAATGTTAAATATTCAGAGCGGAAAGTCTGATATTATTTGTGCATAATAGAATTTAATGGACAGATGGTGTACGTTCGGCAGTCAAATTTTGATGGATTTCATTAACCGTATTTGTTAGATTGAAAGGGTTTAATTTTATACAAAAGATTTCCATTTTGAACGAATTTTGTTTTGTTAATGGATCAGCATGTGTGATCAAATTTGACAAGATTGAGAGAGAGGTGGTTGCGTGGTAACGAGCTATGTGTGTGTGTGTATGTAGGTGAAACGATGATGTCCCGAACGGAGCATTCGAGGGGTGATGCTTTTCATGTTATCGAAAATTTACTCTTAATTGTAATGAAGTGCTAAATTTCCCGCGTGAAGATTTGAAATATCTAACATCGCTGAAATGTTTCAGTAATCGTCGGTGATGCCAGCACATCGCCTATCAACAGTGGCACAGTAGTCGGCGGCCAAGTGTCTCCGAACAATGGAGCCGGAGGCGGCGTCGCGGCGGCAGTTCAGACGCCGACCATCTCGGGGACGACGCCGACGGCGGCTGCAGGACGCAAGAGGCCGCTGCTTGCTGGTGGACCCAGGACTTCAATGACACCGACGAAACGGACAGTGATGAGTCTGTTGGCACGTGCACGTGCTGCCCAAGCCAAACAACTTCCAACCACCACCTTCCAACGCGCTCCAACCGAGTAAGTACCAAGTATATTTATATTATGTTTAAAATCCACTTATTTTTAGTTTAACAAAACTTTATATTAAGATGGTTTAATGAATCACGTAAAACAGTGCAAAGAATAAATAAAATTTTAATTGAAATATGTTTAATAAATATTTTGGAAACCTCTACATACTTATGTTTGCTTTATAATTTTCTTTACTAAATATAAATGCTTTCATTCAATGAATTGATTGAAAATATTCCTTCTACTATTGTTCATTTAATAAGTATAATATTTTTCTTCTGCTTTTCCTACCACTGGAAACTCAACTTGTATTCACTAAAAAGGTGGGATGCACCTCACGTTTTCCTATTTTCGACAAACAAGCGATCAGAAATCTCACGGCAAGCTTCTTCCTTGATCGACTAAGGAAAACTCCCTTACAATCATTAGAAATCAATGGTGAATAGGGAAGACAAACGAAGGGAAAGAAGAAGAGATTACCGAACGCGACGGGGGATCTACCCAATAATTACAAATTGATCGAGCAAATTTATCTCAATTTAACGAAAGGCGAACGCGAATCGGGGAATTACAAAAGAAAATTGTACCATCGAGCAGATATCAAATCCGCGCTTGATTAATTGCACTTTTATTTTCCACTTCTTGTACCTTTAAAAAATATATCATTTAAGGATTTGTTGCAATTCCAATGCTTGTTTTACGTAAGTTATCCTTAATGTCTACAAAAGTAGAGATTTATTGCTTTGGAAATCGGGCATTTTTTTGTTTGTAACTTGCTACTTATCACTTGATCCTTGCTAAGTCATTTTAAATAAGTAAAATGTATTATGCTGCAAACTTTCATGTCATAACAACTGCTACTGGATATAATTAGGGTATCCAAATTTACTATGTTTCTTTCCGGTAATCAGTAAATTACTGGTTATTTTCTAATTGAAAATACTGTGTGCCGAATTTTCGTTATTTCAACGACAGCTATACCAACTTCAGAAAATAGTTTAAGTAATTGCAAATTAATTCAACTAAATTAAATTATAATTACCGTATCTATATTCCTAAATTCTAGATGATTGTGTAAACATTTCAAATTTTCCGAGTAAAAAATAATTTCAATCATATTGGTCGGTAATACAAGTTAACCGTTTACTGGTAATGGAAGTCCTATTTATAATAGAGTACGAAAACAGTGAAATTGAACTAGTAACTGAAATTACATACTGTGTACATTGTAATTGGTAGTCTAGACATATTTATTTCTCGTTTCGCGCATATTGGATGCATCAACTTGCAATAATTTTCTCATCAACGAAATATTGCTATTGGTATTGCATTAAAAACAAATTACGGACATGTACATCGAGCATATATAAACATATACAACATGATGGATTGGTCAATCTAATTTTCCAACAGGTTGAAAACATTTTCCGGTTGCCACTTCGAAAATCTACAAAATTGGTTTTCAATTCAGAAGACCCTAACACTAATGTGTTAATAATTGCACGATTTTATTTATTAGGAAATATATCCATTATTTTCGAAATATGCAAATTTTCTGGTAGGAAATGGTATATAGTTCATTACGGTCATACCAATATTTTTCCACTACTGAACTGTGCTCCGAATTATTGAATGTAATCGTGATTAAGGGTTCGTTTATGTCATGGGAAATGACCAGCTGAAATTGTAAATAACCATCAACGTCCCTAGGGATGTTGCAATTTCGAGCTGAACCACAAAATGTATCAAAAACTCGTTTTACACAGCATACGTACTAATGAATTTTGTATGTTTTTTATTTGACTAGCAATTAATTACAATTGTAATAATTCTATTTATAAAATGTAAAAATAAATGTATTCAATTGATACATTATATTACAACTTTATTCTAGTTTTTTTTTCAATACAATTTTTCTTATATGAATTAAAATCATATTTTACTATATTTTTTTATCATAAAAATTATTGTATTAATAAAAAATATTTTTACAAACAGTTTTATTTGCATTTTTGATTTAATTCAATATTATTTATTACATATAAAGGCAATCTAAATTTTCATCATCTTTGATCAATTATATCAACTTTTATTCTTCATTAGAATAGAAGAATAAAATGTGAAAATTCTTAGAGGACAATGGGCTGCGAAATAAGTTTTTTTTAGATTTAATGAAGAACTCCTTTGGAGCATAAATAATGGTAATAATCTTGCGAAAGCTATTAAAATGAAGAAAATAAAAGCTGGCAAAACATTCATTTTTCTGGGAGCAGTCCGTGCGTAATGGCGAAATGTTTCACATAAATTCCTTGAACGCGCGGAAAACGATACAGAAGCTTACAGTTTAATTTCCTTATTCGTTGCTCGAAAAATTGCGCACAGTCTCATTGCACGTAAAACGGAATCATAATATTTTACAAATAAAGAAGAAGCCAATTACCAATTTTTTTCTTGGTTTTCTTTCTATATATTTGTAAAATTAGTTCGTTGCTGATTTAATAATATAAAATAAAAGCATAAAATTTCTATTTTTATTTTCTAATAAAGTCAGAAATATCTGATAAATATTACATATATTATAATACAAGATGTGCCAAAGGTCACAACACCATTTTAAAATAAAATAACTTTTTGATTTCTTTACAATTTAATTTATTCTTTCATAAATAGTAGTTTGATTTTGATACATTTGTTATGTATATGATAGATTTAATATATAAGTGAAAATGTGATAGTATTCAGAAATACTTCTTAACTTGTAAGATGCAAAAAAGTAATAAGAATGAAAATTTATCAACTATTTCTGAAACGTTTCTGAACGAGATTCATGATACTATTTGTTCATTTCAGATATAAAAGAAATTTGTAGTATGAATTATATCAAATTAATTATCAATTAGCGAGACAACCCGTAACTCTTTGAGTAATAAAATTTAATATTAATTAATTGGGCTTTTAATTTTCGTTTCTTTTGCACGCTGCACCCCCGAGAAAATCCCTTTATATTTGGATGCATCTGTTACTTAATTGGTTTTAATTGCAGACGCAGCAGCACGACAATGGTACCTCTACTGCGAGAAGATTACCTATCCGGAACGATGAACCTCAACCTCATTTAAATATTACGAAAAAGGATGGGAGCTGAGGGAGAGGATACGCAAAAATGACACATGGAGAGGATCATTCCGCGGTTTCCCAAAATTTGCAGAATTGTCTTGAGGAGAGATTTTCACAAAAAAAAAATAGGAAGACAACATACGCGTTAGGTGTGAAGATGTTGTGGGGCGTATGAGACGAAAAGGGAGGAATATTTCTTTTCGGTTGATTTTCACTAGGTTTTTTTCAGCGGCTGAATTAATTTCGGTTACTAGGTTCAGCCCACTCTCTTTAAGATCTAAGTCCACACCAAGAAGTTTATCTATGAATGGATTCAATTAAAAACGCACGGACCAATCTAAAATTTTAATTAACAAATGGAATAAAAAAAATAAATTTAAAAAAAAATATGAACATATATTATTAATATTTATATTTATTATCCTTGCAAATGTTTCGATTAAGAAAGAGATTTATTATAAAAATATATATATAAATTAAGCTACAACGAATAAGGAAACGTTTTCATTAAAAAAAATTATAGAATATATAGCTAATTGAAAATAATGTAAAATCTTCAGTCTAAATTTGATGTTGCAGATGTTAATATATGCCAGCATTAATATTTATTTCTAAGCGTTTCCGTTCATAAACAAATTTAATGCACAATAAATAAAGTACTAATCGGATTTTTAAACTTAAATAAAAACACACAAAAAAAGTTGCTTTTTACATGATATTTAACGATGATATTTAGTACATATCGATTTTATAGGATTTCAATTAATAAATAATACATTTTAATAATAATTAAATTAATTCTAGTGGATAATAACGACGATGGTGTTTCTTGGTAATAAATTTTATTCTCTGTTAAAATTATAGGAAATATATTGAGATGCTTCCATGGCTCAAGAAATTTGCCAAAAGAGATGTTCTTTTTGTTCTGTTTTCTAATTGAAACCTAACTTGGAGAAATATCAGAATACAGATATAACATATTCTATATGATCAACTTAAAGAAACAGCATAAATTGAATACTACAATTATTGTATTAATTATTAATATTACCCAACTATAATTTTAATGAGAGAATTGTAAGGGTATGAATATAAAAAATAAATAAATAAAAATAAAACTTCTGTTTCAAAATAAAATATGTAATTTTAAGGAAGCAACGATTCTAATAAGTTCGATAACAACAACTTTTGTAGTTTACCTTTCATCATACCCGAAATGCCATTTTTTCGTAATAAATATCGTGCAGTTATCGAACAGTTTGGATTCGTTGAAAGGGTGTAAAAATAAGAAATATACTATATATATAATATATAGCACGATGGCGTAACTTCTAAATGTGTCAAATTGTTTTATAAAAAGAATGTAATTAGCTGCGAGCAACAGAAAAATGATTAATTCCGATTCATTAAATTACCTTCGCCCAATGCATCTTCTAACTATAATTAATACTAAAAGAAAAAATGAATCTATGAAATAAATATTATAATATATGTATTATTATGTAATATGTGTACAAATCTTAATAAAATAAAGATTTATCAAATGTATTTGTTCTATGGCTGTAATATACTTAATCCATTCCCAACAATAGTATTCCTAGTAGTATTTCAGGATCTAATTCTGCGAAAAGGTTCAGTCCACCGCGTAAAATCCTTTACTTCCCCAACATTTGTTGATCTTTTCCAAGTTAATTCGATAGAAACGTTGGTAAATAAAACCCTGTTTTTCTTGATATTTGTTTTATTTATTTCCAATAACTGCATTCATATTATTACTGTTTGTCTTCGCTTTTTTAAGCTCTAATGTAAATAAACTGATCTTAAGGAACGTTAATTACTCATAAATCGTAATCCCTATAGATAAATACATTAAAAACTTTAAACTTTGGTCAAAATGAACCAATAAATATTGTATATAAATATTAAAGAAATATCTCTATTGGAAGTAATTAGACATAAAATTTGGGGAAAATTAATTTTGGGTAAAAAAGACAATACCAAAAAAATAGGGTGATAGAGAATAATGTCCGTAACGACTTTTCCCTTACTTTCTGCGTGGGTATGTGCAGTTTCCGAGGGGATGAAAAAGTTTTGTACGTATGTAAGCCACTCGACGTTCATGTCTACATCCACTTTCGCCCATGAGTCCTTCTGCCGTTGTGTCCTCGTATCCTTTATGAGGATATATACGCACGCGGTGTAAGGGGGCGGCGATCTTTCCCCGGCAATATATATATAGTATATACACATGATGCATTGTGTGTATGTGTGTTTTCATCGTCGAACGCCGTTTGTAACCCACTCACAAGGAGACAATCGAGCGGATAACAATGAAATTGCGGGCCCGTCGTCCTCCTCATCCTAGTCTTGCCAGTACTCCTCTACTTTTTGTTGCCTTCTCTCTTCCTCTTGTACCCTCCTTGGATTCAGATTCAGTGGTGATGTATTGCATAATGAACAAGGCCACCTTCGGCATTTGAATTTTCCTTGTTTCCGAGACACTCGTAGGCTTTTCCATGCACCGTCTCAAAAGCCACCTACTACAACATATAGAAAAGTTCATCATATTGTCTCAACAAAGTAAAGAAAAAATATATTAACATCAGATCTCAATGGAGAGGTTGTAAGTGAGAAATAAATAAATCTTAGTATAAATTCACCTCGAAGTATGTATTTAATAACTCGATAAACGGAAATATTTGTGGGGAAAATGAATTTGGACGGAAAACGATTTATGGTCGGAGGCGAAGGCAGCCGTTGAATTGCTGAATGGGCGTCCGGTCAATTCGATTCGCGATATGGGTCCATAAAGATGACCGCAATCGAATTGCCCGGATGGTTTCACGCTAACTACCGCCGCCTTCTCAACTGCCTCCTCCTCAAAATGAAATTGCTCTCACTTCCACTCGGGCAGATTAAAAAAAAGATATAGAACGAGCAAAGATGGAGGTAGAAGTACATATAAGAAAGCCAAGAAAGGAACGATAAAACTGGACTGGAGGAGGAAAATAAAACCGGGAGAGTCTCCAATCGTTTCTGGGTCAGTGTTCTGGCTTACATTTTCCGAACACGATCTTCGTCCTTTGAGTGGCTCTCGTTATAACCGGTAGTTGTCGAATGTGTTTATCTCGTGACTACGCATAAAATGATCAAAATAAGCTCATATTGTTCTTGAATTATCATACGATACATAACAATTATTTTTTTGCAACAGATATAACTTGTCTGGTTAAGAGAAAATGAGATATCATAATATTTCCAAGAAAAAATGTTTGGAAAATGTACATAGGAAAGAGTATAGAATAAAATAAATAGTATAAAGAAAGAAAGACTTAGGTCGATAGACCATTAATGGCATTTGTGGCTAATAAATATATTATTATATAGATAATATAAATAAACTTATGAAAATACAAATATGTTTTATATTAGATTTACGCTCTATATTCTAGAGTCTAGAAATTAATTAGTAACGTTATATTTAACGGAGTTTCTCAGACGCCACGTGGGTAACTATATTACAAAATGCCGAGCGAGTAACGGAGGATTATATAATGTTGTACCCCGGCACTTCCACTATATTTCTTTGTGAAAATTATACTGGAGTGACTTGTACTGTTCGGAGATGATAAAACGTATGGTACAAACTTTCAGCTATTGAAATAATAAGACCTAATTTATATAACTTTCAAAGATGACAAATATACACAACTCTGGAAATGTTCAGAATTTAAACAATCTTCACTGTAGAACATAATTTCATCACATGCACTACATTCCAATTATTTATTTAAATTTATGTGCCAGTGTCTGAGGTTAAAACAAAATTGAATACATATATACTTCAAAATGAAAGTCAAACTTACAAAATTAATTCTTCTGTTAGTTCAAATGCGACGCCTGTAAATAACTTTGAAACATACAATTATAGAATTAATAAAGTAAAGGAACTTAGTTCGGTAACCAACTGCAGGGTAACGAATCCTCTGGGAGCTTTTCATGTCACTAAGCAGGAGGCTCCGAAACGCCGCGTGGTATAAGCCGAGGGTTCCCCAAGCAGAAAACGTTAATTGTATGAAAATTCTAAGTCCGCATAATTTCGCAGCTACTCCCTTGCACATCGCAATGCAACCTAATTCGTAACAGCTTCCATAAAATTAGCACACATTCCTCTAAACTGGCATTGAATAATTCATTTGTACTAATTTCGTCTTTCCTCTATTACCGTTCACGCGTAAACAAATAAACCATTTGATTGAAGCGCAACAGCGTCTTGGATATTTTTAACCATTTCCCTCGGGGAACATCCGTTTACCGGTTCCGCCTTTGTGTCACTGTCAAAACCGGAAAACGGGATTGGATTTACGGCGCGGCACGTGAACTTGCTATTTATTACCTGGGTGCCCCTTTAAGGTCTTCTTCCTGTGATTTAGAGACAATTATGGGTGCTCAAGGAGACGGCGACTTCCGAATCTCGAAACTCAAATTTATTTACAACTTAGCAAACATCTACACTTCTTTTCTTTAAAATCACCCTCATGGTATTCATAATAAATTATTATTCTTAAAATATAAACTTTAAGTAAGTAACAATAATAATATTTATTATAACAATTACAGCATACAACCAAATAAAAATTAAAACATATTCATATAATTGTTGCAAAAGGCTATTGACCATAAATTATTTCTTCCGACAGATATAACATTTTTACCAATGTTTACTAAAACTCTAAGTAATTATTATTGGACCAAATTAGGGCCGTTATGATTCAATATTAATTCATCTACATCTTTTAATAAATACTTAAATACTTTTATTAGTTACATAACAATAGCTTATAATTTGAGTGATTTGAAATGTTCCGGTTGTTAAAATGAATGAAATATTAATTAATTACTTATTAATAATTGTTTTCAAAAAATTATTGAGCCGAAAAAATGTAGACATATAAGTGACATATATTATGATTAACTTAAAGCGCAAGTTACATTAGACAATGCTGCTACCTATAGGAACTAAGTTGAAACTATAATCATAACATAACCCTACATTGCTCAAGAATCATATTTTCCTCACTCTCTAAGGAATATGAATTAAATTAAATAATCTAAAGTATAATTGATAGAATTGTTGTTATACAATGTTTCCCACAAGTACCCAGTGTAAATATTGGATGTTTTCCAGTGAAGAGGAATTAAATCAATTAAGAGAAAAAACCAACACTAAGCACATTCAAGCTTATGGAAAAAATGTACCTGTATGTATACTGTAAACTAAGATATAGTTAACAAATAGTTATAAACAATTTTTTTCAGGAAGCCAATCGTTATGATTACTTTTTAACTCCAGTAGAAGAAAGCTTGATGGCGAAGAGGTATGAACTGTTCTTAAGAGACTTCTGTAAAGGATTTTCACCTCCAATGCCACGAAATGTAACAGGAACTGCATTTCACTACTTCAAACGATTCTATGTAAATAATTCAGTGATGAATTATCACCCAAAAGAAATCATGTTGGTTTCTTCAACTTTAGTTTAATCCATAATAATTATTAATGAGTATATTTTTAGGGTAACATGTGTATATCTAGCATGCAAAGTTGAGGAATTCAATGTGTCCATTGGACAGTTTGTGTCAAATATTAAAGGAGATAGGGAAAAAGCTTCAGACATTATTTTAAACAATGAACTATTACTTATGGAACAGTTGAACTATCATTTAGCTATACACAATCCATTTCGGCCTGTGGAGGGATTAATAATTGATATCAAGACTAGGTGTCAGTCACTTAATGATCCAGAGAGATTAAGACCTGGGATTGACCAGCTTTTGGATAAGGTTTTCCTCACTGACGCAATTCTGCTATATTCACCAAGCCAAATGGCATTGGCCGCTATTCTTCATGCTGCTTCCAAACTGCAGGAGAATCTAGATTCGTACGTTACTGATACTCTCTTTGGAGTTGATGGTCGTGGGAAACTGGAGGAACTCATTGAGGCAGTAAGAGGGATACGTTCGATGGTAAAGATGGCGGACGTGAATCCTGATAAGAACCAGATGAAGTTAATCGAAAAGAAGCTGGAGAAATGCAGAAATCCAGACAATAACCCTGATAGTGAAATGTGCGAACGATTTACTTTCTCATTGTTACATTTATTTATTCTGTTGCCTGTTTCAGTTACAAGAAGAGAATGCAAGCTTTACTCGACGACGAAGACGAAGTTTACAATCAAATAATGAACTCCAACACGGAATTGGATAATTCTACTTTGAATATGCAAGCCCTTTAATGTTTATTTTTTTAGATTGATGTTTCTAAATAATGTTTCGATTTTATTTTTGTATTGATATTAAAACAATTATATATTTCAAATTAATTTTAGAAATTTTATCATATATGAAAGAGGTGTAATAGGTTGCAAATTCGCAATCGGCATTTTTTTAATTTAATTGAATTTACTTCCAGACTTAGGTTTTTTAATGATTATAGAATTACAAAAAAAACATACTACAGATAATGTAGTAACATGTATGTATATTTGGTTGCATATAAATACTTTCAATAAATACGATTTATAGTTATTTAGTGATTGTTAATTTGCTTCGAAATTAATGTTTCACTAGAATTATAACATTTAGTCAAGGATCACATAGAGAAGCAAATTTTATAATTTGTAACAAAATTTACAGAACTCTGTGAATCAAAATTATTATGTTATATTTACTGTCTGACAACAGATAGCAGCACATTTCTGATTTGGAAATAAATAGTCAACTTTTAATATTCAAATTTTAGTACTCGTTGCATTTTTAACAAAACTAAAAACTATGTAATTTTCTAAATGCAATATAGATAATTGATATTTATAATTAAATGTGTGTATGCGACATTTGAAATGTTCCATTTCGAATTACTATATTTAAATAATTACTAAGATATTAAACCGTAACATTGAAGTGTTTTCTTTAGCAGGATCAAGGTGATAATTAAACTATCAATAATTATAATTTAATACAAATGTTTCAAGAAAATTCTTAAAGTATTTTGTTTTATTGTTGAATAATAATTATAAAATTGCTTTGATTCGACGACATCATCTATGATATAATAACAATTATTATGTAAAATATGTAATATAAAGAATATATGGTATTTTTGTTTATAGATAATAGCTACATCATAAATAAAAGAGGTATTTTGTAAAACATCATAAATTGATATTATTTCTAGACGTAATATTGGAAATACCCATGGGCTATCATAAAATATTTCCATTTTTACGGAGTTTATACGCGTTTCATCAAATCGTTCTTTTGGTCGCCTAAAGCATTTCCATGATCATAAACAAAGAAAATGAAACAAACATAAGAGTCAATCAACATTCTACGAACGCCACATTCATTATAAAACATTATAATTTTGTGAATGGAAAATATTGTCTTTATCATAAAGATTAAGTTCGCATGTATTTTTATATGATAGAGATAACTTTAATGAATAGCATAATTAAAAGTAATTATGTAATTTTTATATTGGTATATAGTATATACTTATATATTACTAGCCTTCTATGCTTGTCAATTATGTTTTTTCAGTTTAGAGTAATACATTAAACTTTTTTTTGAATTACTAACCGCAAAAAGAAATCAAAAGCACAAAACTTTCTTCTATAAAATGAGGAAAAAAATAATCATTTATGTAAAAATACTTTTCTCTACTAATTTTTTAGTAACCGCACTATGCGAGTAATAATTTTACTTATAGTAAAAACAATTCTTTTTCAATTCATTAGTATTATAAAATTAGTTGTTTTTTTTTCTATCAGTTTAAAAAGTTTCTTGCAGTATTTGCAGTTATAACCATATATCTTTCAAGAAATTACTACCAACTGTCTTACAACATTCGACAACATTCCACATTTCTTTTTGTTGCTCATAGAGTAAATAGAGTAATTTCATTGGACATTTTTTTGTCCGTATGTGAATACTGATCATGATCTAGATGTGGTACTTTTATGCAAGTGCTGGATTGAGAATGGAAAAAGTTTCAAGGTAGAATTTATTGGCAAATCAATAAATATGCATGTGGATACATAGCCGGCAGTGAAAAGGCGCTTTGGAAATAAATAAAATGGAGAAAATGAAATTCACCAACAAAAATAGAATAAGGAGATCAAAAGTTGTAGTTTTATTGGTGCAGTTACTGGCAATCAACGTGCGAGTCGAGATAACATAAATAGTCGCCGTAAACGTTTCATTATCTACATGCCTCTATACAGCATCCATATACCATTCGAATGGGTTATAGGCTACTTGTTATGCCGAATACGATGTTGCGATCCGTTCTGGTTTCCAGTCGCTTTGGCTTTGTCTGTTCCTCGGAGAAGAAGAATAAGAAGAAGAAGAGGTGAGCAACATCAACAGGACCAGCAATAGCAACAGCAGCAGCAGCAGTTGTGGTCGCCCGTTGCCGTGGTAATGTTGTTTTATGCCCATGGGCCGGTCGGCAGTGCCGCCCATACCTACGGCGTTGTCGGTAGGCGGCCATCTTATCTCTCTCACTCACTTGGCCGCAGGCCCAGAACCTACCAACGCAAGACCAACGACAACAACAACATTAACCGGTCACTCTCGAAACGGAATCTAAATACACATTTATTTACCAATTTTCATAGAACGAAAAACTCTTAGTCCATACATATTTCTACACAAATTTGTTTCATATATACTATCTACTTATATCTAAAACAAGTATCATGAATTATTCAATTAAAAAATGCATGCACGAACACAGTCTTAACAAAACCTAAAAAATTAAACAAGATACAGTGGAACCTTGCATAACGAGCATTTCGCTTAACGAGCAAAATGAATTGTAAGGAAAATAACTCGCTTAACGAGCGACGTTTCGCATAACGAGTGACGATGAGAAGAGAAGTCCCGGATTGCGCGCCTACTACATCATTTTTAAAACTTGTGTACACATATTATGTGTTTTTTTTGATTATATCCTTGTCATCTTTGTTTAAATATAATTTGTGTTTGCTGTAAATGCAAAACACAAATGTATTGTCTCCAACCATTATTATAATTTATAAACATACTATATATATAAACAAATATTAAAAGTATAATGAGACCTCCACCAAGTCAATTAATACAAGTAAGGTAAACAAATATAAACTCACTTCACCGTGTGTGAATTGGAAAACGGTTCCTAGTGTTAGTCATTCTAGTTGCATCCTAGTGTTCAGACATGTTGTTTGTGTTATTTGTGCAAAATTTAATAACACTTGCATGTCTCCTCATAAAAAGCGAAAGAATAAAAATAACCATAGATATCAAAATCATTAAAAAATCGAGACCAGTTATACTTCTTTTTCTTGGGCATGGAATGCATTATCATAATTTACATTAGTTTATATGGGAAAACGTATTTCACGAGTAAAAATCCAAAAATTTTGGAACTGATTAAACTCGTCAAGCGAGGTTCCACTGTATAGTCGAATTAAATAATATTACAATTATCGGCTGAAAGACTTCGGTCAATAGACCAAAAAAATATTTAATTTTCTCCTAAAATCTTTCATCGGTGTTTCTATTTGAAAAAAAAAATCTAAATTTTGTTATTTAAATCAAATAAAATCAAATCAAGAAAAATAATTAGCTAAGAAATTTATAATATAAAATTAATTACGTAGTTTTCAAATGACGCGATTTAAAACGGACAAATTAAATGATACTATGTGCCGCATTTTTTTTAAAATTCTGTTAATAGTGTGGAATTTATTCTGTCAAATTGGCAATTAGCTGTTATTGAAATGTCGCACCAATAATTGATAATATTCCAGTATAAATTACACTAATTATTGCTTAGTTGACATTCAACGTGCACCTACCATTAGGACACATTTATCTCATGCTTTACATCAAAACGATATTAATATCCATTTTGAACCGTTCAATTTGCTCGCAGAAAAGCGAATTAATGATTTTTCAAATTGAATGATTAATGTGTTCGTTCTATAATGTGCTCGATCATTTAATATGTTAAAATTTGTATGAAAAATTTATGCAGAAAATCCGTATTCTACGTTGCTATTTTTTTTGTACTTTGTATTGTTTGTTATTGGTCTTCTTTTATTAATATTGAACGTGAAATTAACGGGGAGCGCCGCTAATGCATCCATCGGGGGGTGCCATTATTACCCATTTGGCCGCACCCCCGAAACAGGGCGCACGGAATAATGTTCCTCTCGCCATATTTTCTTGTTGTTTTTTTTATATTTCGTGATGGTATTATTTATTTCGTATAATTAGTGGAAGAATACAAATTGAACATCAGATCTGCACAAAAGCTTCCTCTTGGTAGGCGAAAGTGATTTCGCGATATGAATCTTTAAATATAATTAAGAATAAGAGCTCGATCGCACAGATTAAATTGGAATATATAAAGATGGTAACAATCTGCAATTAGGCTACTGGGCTTTTTACCACGGTCTTGCTCACTTTAATTGAGTCCATTTTAATACCAGTCTATAGCATCATTAAAAATATTATCATTTCATTACAGACCAATTCTACTTCTATATTTTTACATCTGCAGAGCAGAGTGCATAATATGCAACACAAATTGTATATGCAAAATTATAGAACCTATAGTATAGGTACTTTATGTATTCATTTTCCGGTAAATGTATAAATTTGCCAAATAATAATGTAAAAGTAGATTAAAAATATTGAAATATAAAATGTATCAATATTATGCGAAAAATTTACACCGTAACTTTACTGCTTTGGAAAATGTGAAATGAATGGGGGAGAATGTATAAATATGTGCTTAAAACCTATATAAATAAATATTTTTTTAAGAAAAAAAAAATAATATTAACTACAATAAATGACATGATGATGGATGGCTGCGTTCACACTTTAGCCCAGCTACGTTCAAAGTGAGTACAATGCACTTTTTCCTAATTTCCAGTGACGAATGTGTATTGAACGTACACACAATGTGTTATAGAATAGTATTATAGAATATACCGATGATTAAGTAAGAACTAAAATCGCAATAACAATAAATAAATGTGATTATTAAGATTTGAAGCATTGCAATTAGAATCGATTGGGTTGTCGATAGGTACCTAAAAAAAAATTACTGATGGGAAAAAATGAAGAGAATGGTCTTTCGTAGTTCATAGAATTGAATATGTAAATAAATGATGAATGCATGGGAAGATTTCTGTGTTCGATTTCTAAACGCACAGTAGCTCGTTCATGTGTGTACACTAATATTAATAATAATAATAACATATGC